CATCCGATGAAGAAGACGTTTTAAATCAAAATCTTTTTTCTTTGTTCACATCATGTTTGACTTTGATGAGGATAGAAATGTAATTGTAAAAAATGACAACATGTTTTAATTGTTTTATAGGAAGAAAATATGTCCACAAATTGGAAGTCGTTCGAGAAAACCATCATTCCAAAATTCTAATACAATGAACAGCACACATAATTGACTTGAGGTGGTGAAATATTCTTTGAGCGCTGTGTCAAAATACGACTAATTGAAATAACACTAAGTATATTGATATAATTACCCAAAACGAATCACTAAAGTACAACCAATGAGAACGAAAATAAAAAAATATAAGACTTCACAAATTATAAACAAAGCATTCTCACTGCTAGAGAGTAGTCATAGACTATAATTTGCTTCTTAACTTTTTGTAGACTAAAACAAAATATATCATAATTTTTTTATTGAATAAAAATACATTTTAGTTTTAATATCAAGTTTAAAAAAGTCAAACTCTTTGTTAGAGCGATCTTGTGTTTAGTATAACGTAAAGAAATAAGGTCAAAGAATAACAAAGGATTCCTGTCAAACATTTTAATTAAAGAGATTTCATTTATTTGAATATCATATCGAGTTTTTTTAGTATTTTTCTGATAAATCTAATTTAAGACTTCAGTCAATCGTTTTTCAAGAAATAAATGGTTCAATCAATAAAGAACAAGTCTTCTTTGTAGTTACCAAGTTCATTGTTGGATTAAACTTTGACAATTTTCATTGATTTGATTCAAATTGTACAAAAGCTCGACGTTAATTTGAGTGAATGATAACTGAGAGAGAATGAAAATCACGTGATCCCTGTTGCTCATTTTGTGCTTGAAGCCACTGAGTATCATGCAAGAGGTTTTCACTGATATAAATGAACAAGAAAATAACATATATCAGCATTAGATAGTATTTGATGCTATTTCATTATTAGAAGAATATAAACTATCATCTAATTGAAGATGATATAAAAATCAATAGTTTGTTGTTATTATTGTTTGGTTTCAAATCACTGTTCTTAATCATCAAGTGGCGAGTATTGAATTACATTGCTTGATTTTCTATGCGCAATGTCTTCAGGAATTTTTTATAGTTATTCCACCAGAAATTATTTTAAGCAACAAAATTTCATTACACCAAAAAAATATATAAATTGATCAGATGCATTTCAAGTAGCTACTGCGCTGCTAGGTTTGCAGATCAATACTTGTATAATACAAATGTCAATCATCTCAATATATGCATCATTCAGTTGAATAATTTACTATTGAACAACGATAATATTCGACAACTGAAACAGTGCGTCAGCGTAATATACCAGAATAGAGTTATTCGGAAGACCAGAATTTTGTCCGAAAAAAATTATGAAAATCCTTCTGAGAGCTTTTTTTCTTTGAACACGTGTCTTCTTATTTCAGATTCTTCATCTGTAGTAAAAACTTCAATCTGATCGATTGCATCCTTCTCAAGAATCAAAGCTATCAGATTTTATTGGAAACAATCAGAAAGATGCCAGAAAATCATCGTATATAGTACAAAAATGCTGAAAATCGACGTAACTTGAAGCAGTATTCTGGATCAGACTGTTTTTGAATTTTTTTTTGGCAACTTTCAACCATCTTCAACCAAAAAGAATAAGAAGTTGGTCAAAAACTCTCAGAAGAAATTCGGAGACATTTCGATCGTGATTATTGTGTCCAAGCTTTTTCAAGTTTCAATTTTCATTTAGATAACACAAAATAGTTCTCTTACATGCGGTATGATAAGATTATTCGAATGTTACTATTTCTTCTTTATACTAAAGAATATTTTTTCTTTTCATTTAAATATCATAACTTTCTATGACAGCCACAAACAACGAGTCCATGTCACAATCTTATAATATTCGTCCGTGTACGATTGCGGATGAAGATAGTGCTATTGCTGTTTGCTTAAAGACACGAGATACTGGTAACGATGGAAGCTTGTTCTTTGATGGCCTGAAACTACTGGAAAATCGATATGTTTAACCATATATTTCATTTATTTCCGGAACTTGCCGTTGTCTTAGAATATTCAGAAGGAAATGTATGCGAATATATACTCACGACTTTACATAATGATGTATTTTATAAACGATATTTGGAGAAATGGCTCCCAAAAATGAAACAATTTTATCCCACCATCCCATCAGGTGAATGAAGTATAAATTGTTGCAAATTGTGGACATTTTTTTCCATTAAGAAAACGTCAAAATAAATATTTATAAAATACGTTTTTGAAAGTATTTAGAGTTTCTCATTTTTATCTTTTTAGGCGACGAAAGAGTAAAAAGAGATTGGCAAGTCATACATAGTTTTCATAATGATAATTTCGAATCATTGAAAATTTTTGATGATTATCCTTCATTACTTCATATTGATCTTCTTCCAAAAGCTGAAGGTTGATTAATACATATAGTTAAAAATAAACGGACATACTAACGTAAGATTAATGTTACAGGAAAAGGTTATGGAACAAAAATGATACATCATATTGAAAGTGAATTATAACGACATGGATCGAAAGATGTTCATTTAGATAAATAAAATTTTATTTCCATAGTGAGTTTTTTCTAAAGAAAAAATAATACTATGTTTAGAGATGACAGCAAATAATGATAGAGTATTTCGCTTTTATACTAAACTCGGTTTTACCGTTCTTGCTCAAGATCAAAAGACAATTTGGCTCGGTAAAAAATTGGCATAAGTAACAACATTTTACTTCTGACTCTTCTGAAAACGATAAGATATGTCTTATTTTACTTATATTATAAATTAGTTTGATAATAAAAGAAAGCAAAACATGAAAGTTTCTTTCTTTTTAAAGGAGAAAAAGAATGAGAAGAGTTTGCTCAGGGATGTAAATGCAGGTCACTTATTATTTAAATGTATCAATATCGATGATTGGATCAATTAATGAAACAAGAACCCTATTTTGACAAGAAAATGGTACTCGAAAATAAACAAAAATTATTGCTGTAATGCATCAGAACACAAAAAAAATATGTCTTCATTTTTATAAATGCAAAGGAAACATTTTTCTTTCGATGAATTAAAGTAGAACGACATTCTAACAAAAGTTATTTCTTTTCTAAAATCATCGTCTTGTCAATAAGTCTCTGAATAGATCTATTAAAATTTATTTTTGAAGAAGAAATAATGTCAAAATAGCATAAAACATGTATGTTTTGCTTCCTTAATTCTGTCTTGATTATATGAAATTAATTGAAGACGATCTTATTTGGTGTAGCACTGTTGCATTACTTGAAGGATAGTTTCATCATTTTGTTGAAGCATCATCTTAGGTGGATGACTCATGAAATGACCAAAAGCATAATTCGAAAGGAATTGTCCAAAACGTTGATCAGGTACAAGAGGCCAAAGTTCTTCTATTTTATGAATAATATTTTTCTGAAGTTCCGTGAGTTCAGAAGGGGATGTTGTTGAACTTTGAGCCTTTTTGATAGCTTCATTTAAACGTTGTTCAGTTTGAGTATCTTCAGGATGAAAAATATCTCCTCGAGATTCTATCCAATCTGACCAAATCCATTTTTCTAATAGTCCACCTAATGTTAAATTATGATCATATGTCCACAATTGAGAAACTAGATCTATAATGCGCTTAATTCGTTCGAATTCTCGCATTGTTTTTCTATAACGTAATATAAAAACTTGAATTATTCAATAATATTAATCGTGTTTTCTTTCAAAACTTTGTTACAATAACCTTGTATCATAGAAACACGTGGGGACAGAAAAGAAAAATTTCATGATGTCATTATTTCATCAAAATGGAGAGTGATGATGAAAGAATAAGAAACAACAAGCATAATACTAAGTGCGCGTACAACATTTATTTCAGGATTTAACATAGTAGAAAAAAATATATCAATTCGCTTCTTAAGATAACCTAACCGAGATGATTTATGACAATGATCACAAATGACGGTATATTAATGTTGACGATGATGTAAGCGAATGTCTCTTCATCGATGTAATTACAGCCGTATGATTTTGTGTCGTTTACAATGACATCTATGCCGTAATATGGTTGTATTGCTGATGAATACAACCACACGTGGAAGAAAATAATCGCACAGATCATACTGAACCAATGCCTTATCAATAAGCTACGTCATACTTGCTTACAAGAACACCTACGCATCTATTTATATATCCTAAATTAAACGCGTTATTACTATACTCTTATACCTATTGTCTTATCATTACATCCCTATTAAAGAAAATAGAACATATTGTTATCCTTATTAGAGAACGTCTACATAAAAACAACAAAAAGAATCGTTCATTGTGGAATGCTTATGTTTCGACCATTTATCGTAGTATTATTCTTAGTTTAGTACATTTTGTCAGAACTATTCAGGTTTCAGTAGCAGAGAAATTTTGATAAAGTTGTTCACGAATATTGTTTCTAAGGTATTTCGTGTAAACAAAACATAGATATGCTTCCGTAATACCTCTTGAATTGATTGAAAGATCGATACTAAAGCATGAAAATGATGGGAAAAGTTTGTATTGTACTTTGACTTAAGCCAAAACTAACGAGGCACTTGAATTATGTTAATTCTCTCAGGGACTGTTAAATTAGACTGAACAACACAACTGGAATAATACCTATGTGTGCTACCTTTATTATCATGAACGGAAAAATCCTGTTTCGTCCTGCTTACATCTTAGCTAGTAATGGCTATTGGACAAAAAAAGTATAATATTAAAAAATTATTTTTCTTCAATAGTATTTGTCTTCCAAAAAAAGACAATTAAGTATGACATTTATTTTTCTTAGTATAGATATTTTTACATAAGCGATAGATACACAACATAAATCACGTAATTTGCTCAGATTTTGAAAGTCGTACAAATTTTTCACTAAGGAAAAGGCTATGGAATGGAATCAATATTTAGAAGGAATGTAGTTAAAATTTATGTGAATTAGGCACTGGACGCAACATTGGGCAATTCATTAAGTGGATACTCGGTCAATTGTTTTTGACGTGATAATGTTAAGATTGTCCCATCTTTAACAACACGTTGTGTACCAGTATTCATCGAGTTTGTTATTGGTTCAACACGAATACCCCGACTATAGAAACATACCATGATTGATGTATTGACAATACTGAAAAGTTCGGCTCGAAAACTTCGTGATACTAGTATATATAAATAGAATGCTGTAACAGGAAACAGATATACACACAATTCAGCAAAGAAGAATGAGAATCGTTCAATAGCTAAACGATCAGGTGACTTATCTGGAACATTGCTAACTATAGCAGCATAAAGCGTATAGAGTAATTGGGGTGCCTGAACGAAACAATAGACAGTAACTTGTATGAACAGCATGGCTAATGCATTTTGATCACGTGTACGCTGAATACGTGTATGAGCCGTTTGTTGAGTTGTAAAATTACTAACATTGATCTGCTGTTCACGCAGATCTCGTTTAACTGCAAGATTACGCCGAATAAGTAAAATGCTTGTAATCATAATTGTCGGAGGAAGAATACCACCCGTAATTATAGTATAGATACTATGATAGAGTGCGGCTGCTCGATTATATACGATAGCGCAAACACCGGCACCTGGACGTATTTCGTAGAATACAATCGTATGAATAGGTAAGATAAGCCAAATACAAATAATAAGAATAACTACACGACGTGCAATATGTACTTGTGCGAATCGTCGTAGACGCGCATTTCTTGAACTCAATGCATATCGATCAATACAAGCAATAGTTATCATCCACCGAGTCATCATAAAACTTGACTGCATTATATAAATACGTGCCTTACAAAAGGCTCGTATGGTTGTGTTCGGATCTGGATTATTGAGAGTATAGAGAAGTGATCCACAACCCAAACATAAACTTATGATCATTATTGGCGATGCTCCTAAAAAGTCTGCAAAACAAGCATCACGTAGTGTATATGAACAAATACTATTCAATAAAATGCATCTCTCCTCTTTAAAGAAAAACAAATACAGTTCAATTTTGAGGAACGTAAAAGATTTTTCAGATGCTTTCAATACTACAACGTCTACAAAGATGTGAAAACGTTATAAGAATGCAAGCAACGAATGCCTATTATAGAAATGGAATACAATGTCGACAAAAAACAGATACAGTTTCGTGATGTTCAATGTGGTATAGTAAGTGGTTACTAAAAAGACTTAATTTGATATCGATATAGTTTTTTTTCAAAATGATTCAAAGAATCATTTTGAGCCAACAAACTAATGATAAAATTAATCCTTGCTTCAATGTCTTTTTATACAAACTCGAAACAAACGTTCACGCTATTCCAGAATCTACTCTTGTATTTTTGGAACTCTCCATCATGACTGGCTTTTGATACAAATATTATGCAAAAAAATTCTGTAATGTTTCTACTATGGAGTAATGACCAATGTATATTCTAATCTTGAAGTTACTGTACAGCTTATCAATAAATAGAACTGATAGAACCAACAACTTTGTTCTGTTTTTTGAGATCTTAACTACAATAACAAATCAATCAATCAATGGCAAACGTATTGATTAGATATCGTGAAACCGACAAGTGATATAAAAAGATATAATCCATTGTCATTGATTACACTTTGTGTCCTCATAACTCTTGAACAACAGAGTACAAGAGCGTGATATCTTTGATTTAATAGTTTTCACTGATGATCTTTCATTTTATAATAGAAAGACAAAAACAATTCATGTCTTAATTGATCATGGTATTTCATCTTGGCATGTTTTCTCCTCAATTCTCTCTGGGAAATATAAATTAAACATAATAGTTCTTTATTAATCTGTCTAGTCAAACACGAAAATTTACACAAAAACGTGTGTATTTGCTATAAATTTTCAGAGATTTACAATAATGTGCAAGAAATTTTTCAAGTAAGTGCCTAGATTATAGATGATCTTAATTCATGGAAATATTCGCCTGTAACAGTTCTACGTACTTATACAAGATATATGACTTTCATGTAAATGTCAGTGTTATTTTCGTATACCTTTATCATAATATCCTTCAATTTTATCCCTGGAAAATACTACTACGTGTTCATGCATGATTACTATGTATGTTTCATTATTCTTTTATTCTAAAATTTTCTTGCATAAGTAAGCAAGAGCTCATCAAAAAAATCTTTGTATGTTTTCACATCCGATAATAAAATGCAAGCGCATGTGCAGAATGCCATGACCAAGGGGGAAACAGCGGACTTCAAGACTTCAAGACTTCAAAAGACT